TTATTTTAGAGAATCGAGTATTAATTAGTTCAATAACTTGTTGATCATAATGTAGAAAAGATAAATAAGCTATAATGTTATTGTTAGAGTAAAACAAGGTAACTCGAGAATACTCGAAGCTTGAGGATACTCGAAACTCGAGAATGCGCAAAATTATGGGAGGTCGAAAAACAACAAAAGGAAACTCTGGAAACATACGAAGTATAAGAAGAATTAGGAGGTACTCGAGGACATCCTTCGCAAAGCACTTGAAATCCTTGAAATTCTGTCACTCAAAATGCTTCACAGCTTCACAACCTCTCAAAGTGAAGGAATTAGAAGAGAGATGGTTAGAAACAACTTCTGAATTGACGAACTATAGGCGAAGTACAAGAAGAATCCGGAGACACTTGAATATATCTTTCGCAAATCACTCGAAATCCCAGAGACCTGGCCATTCATGAGCATGCTTCGTAACCTTTCGAAATGAAGAACTTAGGGGAGACACGATTAGAGAAAGGTCGAAGTAAATCGAAGGGATAAGTATCATATTGCAGAGCGGTTTGGGGGGTTATAAACGGTTCCGGAAGTTATTAGAAGACGTGCATGCTGAGTGACCCATGATTTGAAAGTTTAAAACGGTTACACATTCGTGACATGCCAGATACAGTTATTATGATCCCTCAAATCTCTATAAATTGATGAGCCGTGCTCATAGAAAAGGGTCGGGAATTGTGTACTCACGAAGACTCACAAACACTCTCTGCCTACGCATATGGCTCTCATGTACGAGACGGTTGAGTACAATTTCTCGACCACCTTTTTTTTTCCTTTATAGCGTAGTGTAGTTTCCTAATCACTCATTAGTATCCTTATGCATTGTAATTCTGTCATCATTGAATGAAGGATATGATTTCCGCAATCAATATACGTGTTGTTTATACGATTCAGATTAATGTTTATATGCATGAAATTGATTGTGTGATAGATATCAATGAAAGCATAGATATTCTGGTATGCTAAACGAGTTTAATTGCACCCTAATTAATTAACTATGTATGTTGTGTGTATGATTCATCACTGAAAAGTCACAAAAAACTGGTCACGTTATACAAGCCTAAATTGAAATCTGCTAGTTCGAATAAAAAGAACCTACAAACGAAAATCACCACAAATAGTTATATAAATTGATATATATGCATTATTATATGAGTATCAACTGATAATGATATAATTAATAAATAGTTTTTATTTTTTTAAGTATGTTATTGTTATTCGAGGAGTTCAATTTCAGTTGCACTTGAACGCATATCAAAATATGTTAGAAGGAAGATCAAGTACATTAGTATCGAGTAGCAGTTACGACAATGACCAAGCGAAGAGTAGGAGGAGGTACTCGAATTCTATTCAAATTCTACACAAGTAAGGAAGCGACTAACATGGATAATCTTAGAGAGAAGGTTCGAAGGTGAAACTAAATGATAAATCAAAAGGAACGGTTACGAGAGGTTATTGATGGTTAGGAGAAGTTGACCCACGACGCCTAATGCGCAAAGCAGTTATACGTCACATCAAGATCATGCGAAGTAACCACCATTCCTCACATTTTTTATAAATAAACAAGCCATGTTCATGTAGAGGGTCGGAATCTTCATACTTACGAAATCTCACAACACTCATTGTCTGCGCATATGACTTCCGTGTACGAGACTGTTAAATATGACTTCTTGACCACCTTTCTTCTTTCTTTTTAAAGTAGGTCTAATTTAGTTAGTGTATTGTAGTTCTGTTACTTCTTTGAATCTTCATATATTGTAATTCAACAATTAATAGAAACAAACTGATTATGATGTGTATCGTTAACATATACGCTATTCATTCGATTCATTTGAATGTCCATATGCATGAAACTTATTTCGTGATAACTGTCAATGAACACTTGGAGTTCTTTGTATACTAAATCACATAAAATTGGACCCCAACTAACTAGCTTGTTTATTTCAATATAGTCACTTGTATTCTGTGTGTATGAGATTCATCCATGGACAATTGGTTACATGCTCAAAACTTACCGCGTTATACATACCTAAATTGAAACTTTGCTAGTTCGAATAAAAAGAAACCATAAACGAGTTCCCCCGCAAACAGTTATCAAAAATTTGATTATTTAATTTGTGTTGTATGAAGAAATATTTGTTTGTAGAGATGAACTTCTCAAATGAAACGCAGTACTTTAATTTGGTATCGTCACTCTTACGACATAACTAAGATCCCTTGCTTTCACACCAAAAAACACTTTCTCCCCGCGGAATGAGCCCTGTGAACTACCACACGCTGGTCAATCTAATTTGTTTTATCCACCCCATCATGCAATTAACAAGGTTATCCACTTAATTGAGATTAATTAATTATATTTGTGTGATTATCAACAAAAAATAATTATATTTGTGTATTTTTATAATTACAATTGGCCACCAAGATATCTCTTTCTGTTTCATTCACATATTTTATTAAATTAATTATGACCGTTAAGAAGAATAAAATTCTGCTAATCGAGTTTGTTATTACAGTTATATTTTCTAAATGCAAACTCGAAAATAATTATAGCTGAATTATAAGTTGTTTTTGGATAAAATATGTTTTTCATTCTTCTAAAAATTTTCAAATTAGATTTTAGTGTCTTATTTATTTATTTTTTGGTTTAGATGACGTATATATATAAGAATTTTGACTTATAGTAATAAATAAAAACTGTTACTAAAAGTTAAAATTTGTATATAAATATCTATTTTACATTAGTCCACGGATGATCTATTCATTTATATATATGCGAGATGTATAATAACGAATTTTTGATTTTCCAAACAATAAACAAAGTATAAGCATACTTATTTAAGTTTTACTTACATTAAATGTTTATAAGTAAAAATAATTTTTAATTTTACCTACATTCATTAATCTGTGAGAATAAACATCTCTCTCTATATATAAATTATTTTTATTGTATCGATGCTTTTAAGATTTATGTAATTATCTTTTGAAGACAAAAATAATGCATTTTCAAATTAGAGAGACAACAATAGTACAAATATTTTTTTTTTTGGACAAACTATAAGTGAATTTTAAATTTTTTAGAGAGACTAAAATCATAGTTTACCTGGTTGCTTTATACCTTCTGGTCAATGTGCTAGATGATATTAGCCGTACACATACACACATATACATGTGTTTTATTTTCAAAATTAGTTGTCTTCAATTTACCTTTCAAATTTGTGCTTCCTCTGATTTAAAAAAAAAAAAAAGCAATTCAAGTTGATTAAAAATATTAGTTAGAATCATCTAATTATATCATCTCATTAAAGAAAATTCATAAATTATTCTTCATCGAAACTTGATATAAAAAATAAAATAAAATAAAATAAAAATAAAACATCAATTAAATAAGGAGTATTTTAAGGACGTTTCATTAAACGAGATGAAAATAATTAACATTATGCTTATGTTTGAAAGGCCAATAAACATAAGATATTTTTTTTTATATTAGAAATGTTATTTGTCTTTTAATATGTTATTTCCACTCTGACAATAATGTAAAAAGGAGAAATATTATACATATAGAAGTTTCATCGGGAAGGGATGGAATCCTCTCTTGTTACACTACAAACCCAAAAGTCAAAGACATAGGAATGAGGCTTGTCCAATAAGTTTTGAAATTTCCTTAACTACAATCTCAATCAAATAGTATTATAACTATGACTAGTATAAATCTCTTGTAGCATTGTATCATATCTTTCAATATCTATTGTGCCTTTTTTATTTGGTGGTCCCTCTAACATTTTCATTCCGATTTCCCTTCATTACTATCCTCATATGATAAACCCTTATGTTAGGCCTATTATAAGTCCTTGTGTTGGTCGTTGATGTGCATATCCTTCCAATTCATTTTTTTAAACGATGCTTTGTCATTTTATAAACAACATGTTGAATTAATTTAAATTTGATCTACATCTTCTAGAAACTAAACCAACTAATTGGGTTGTAAGCATACCAACCAAGCATAATTTTCAATATCTGAAGAACAAACACGCAGGAAAAAAAATTAAAAGAAAAAAGTTCAACTAGTAGCTTACACACATTCTTTCCCAAAGAAATAGTACAACCAAAACACGTCGTGACAGAATTGCCCTCTGACTAGATCACTCGGGAATGGGATAAATTACCCTTTTGTACTATTTTATTTTTTTGACTAATGCCTTTTATACTATCTATCTGCATATTAAAACAACCGAGTCTGGAGTCTGTTTTGTGTTTTCATTGTATACTTGAATTTTTATGAAATATTCAAAAAATTTCCTTCTTAAGCGACACATATTTCAATTTAAGGTCTAAATATTTTTATGTATAAAAATCGAATATATTACCAAGAAGCTTACGATCCTCATGTATCATATTCAACACACCCTATAGATCTAAATTAATTTATAACACATGCCCTAATTATGTTAATAAGTCAAAATTAGTTTTACTCATCTTTAAAATAAATTACAGCAGACACTACTATGAAAGTCTAGATCCTTTATATAGGGCATATATATCCAAGCATTAATTTGAGTTACAAAAATTAATGTCGTCAGCAAGAACCCTAACAAAACAAAGAATAAAATAGGGTTCAATTAACAGATCGAACAGTATGAAATCATGAGCAGCTTCTGGATAAATGCAACAGTCCAAATAGAAATTACAAAATGAAAGGAAACATTGTTGAAGGTGCTTTTGCAACTGAAAAAGATTCGAAAGATGACAAGTCAAAGTTTCATTTTCCAAATTTGTCACCATAAATGCATAAAAGTCAAGCAGGGGTAGCTACGTCATTTGCCTTAAACCAAACATCTTAGACTTGGGATACTCGGTTCCCCATTTATCAAATAATAGTAAACAATTATTTTGTTCAGATCTTTCACAATTTCTTGCTTGCCAAACAACTACAACCCCTTCACTCCATATGCCTATATATATTACGTACAAAAGGGAGAAATCCATGGCATATAGGACCTAGACAACTAATCAAAAAGAGGAAAAAATCAACATTAAAAAGGTGATAGCTGAAAACCCTTTTCTCTACGAGCAGTTGAAGATTTTGAATATAATCACCTCTCGCCCATTTCCATTTCCACCTCTTCCTACCTAATATATCTCACCAAGTTTCCAAGCTCCCTCACGTATATATTTCTATAGAGCACAACAACTATGATATTCTAGATTGGTTACCCTAAAGAACCATTTCAAGTTCGAGTTATTCCATTTTTTTTTTTAATTTCCCTTCATCGATCAACGATGACCCTTATGAAAACAATATGGAAATCGATCTTCCCCGGTTGTTACAAGGGTGAGTACCCCTCTCCAAAGCCGAAGAAAGTGGTGGCTACGAAGCCAAATTCTTCTCACAGGATTTCTGTGACGGATTTGAGTTATCCAAGCATGACTCTTTCGGAGGATCTTTCAATTTCTCTGGCGGGAACTAACTTGCATGTTTTTTCGCTTGCGGAGCTTAAGATTATAACACAGCAATTTTCTTCTAGCAACTTTCTTGGTGAAGGAGGGTTCGGACCAGTGCATAAAGGGTTCATTGATGACAAGCTTAGGCATGGTCTTAAGGCTCAACCCGTGGCTGTTAAGCTCTTGGACTTGGATGGCTCACAGGGGCATAAAGAGTGGTTGGTACGTACTTTGTTTTCATCCCCATAAAGTAGTTTCAAATTCGTATGTTCAGCCACATGGTCTAAGAATGAGTCTTAAAGAAAAATGTTAATAACACTAGCTAAAGAATTACAAAAGAAAATTATTGAAAAGTATAAAAGCACACTTTCTGACGTAATTTTACTGTAGTTATCAATAAAAAAATTCTATACATTGATTTTTACTTAATCAGAACTAGCATAGTTAAGTACTCAAGTTGTTGAAGATGGCTTGTTATTCTTCCCATGAATTTTCTTTCATATATTTTAATAAATTCACGATAAATCGTGTTAAAAGTCAATGAGGTTAGTCTTATTAAAAACCAATGTGCTAAATCAAGTTTCAAAACTGTCTAAAAATAATGTTCATATTTGGTGTTTTACATATATAAAATGAGATTGTCTCTAGAGCACTATGAAATGATAAAGTTTATTACAATAAATTTATTAAATTGCTTATGAAATTGTCATAAAGTAAGTTATTATTTAAGTAAACACTTATTTAAGTTGTTAATTAAAAATAATTTAGTGTCATATTTAAATAAATAGTTTAATTAACTATTTGTTGAACGAGTTACTATTGCATGAAAATTTCTTTTTTCATCAAGTTAGGTAAATTTATTGAAATAAATTAACATGTTTTATAATTTTTCCACGAAACTTACTTAAATAAGTTGAAAATATTTTATATGAATATCACAAATCAGTTCATATTTAGATTTAAATAAGGTGTTTTAAAGATTACACTCCTCAGAGTTCTGACCTTTTGATTTTCTAACTTGTGGTGACGATAGACTGAAGTTGTTTTTCTTGGGCAACTAAGGCATCCACATCTCGTGAAACTCATAGGATACTGCTGTGAAGAAGAGCACAGGCTTTTGGTATATGAATATTTACCAAGAGGCAGCTTGGAGAATCAATTATTTAGAAGTAAGTTTTTTATTTATTTATTTTATTTTTATAAAATCTATGTAGATATAAGTTTAGAAGTGATTTTCAGAGTTTCTCTACTGAAAACACTTTATTTTTAGTAAATAAACTTTTAAAAATGCTTTTAACTAATATTCAAGTAGATTCTTAATAATTATATAAGTACCCATATATGTTCTTGAAATTGGCTTAGTTAGATGTTGAAGAACTAGCCTCTTATTTTTTACTATTGTGGCAATTATATTTCAGGATTCTCGGCATCACTACCATGGTCAACGAGAATGAAAATTGCTGTTGGAGCTGCCAAGGGTCTAGCCTTTCTTCATGAAGCCGAGAAGCCAGTTATTTATAGAGATTTCAAAGCTTCTAACATATTGTTAGACTCTGTAAGTCTCACTTTATACATTATAAAATTTTCATGTGTTTATTTAATTTAACATTTTATAAAGAGTGTAAAGAGATTTTTTTTTAAAACAAATGGGTATTCTTATTTTTAATATTCTTCAAGGATTACTCCTCCGGGATATAATGTTGTTATTAATACTTACTTTTGTCATATAATATTATTGTTTCAGGATTACAATGCAAAACTCTCTGATTTTGGGTTGGCAAAAGACGGTCCCGAAGGAGATGATACCCACGTTTCGACCCGAGTTATGGGCACACACGGCTACGCAGCCCCAGAATATGTCATGACAGGTAACTTTATAATTTTAAATTTCCAATTAATTAATCCACTTCTATAATAATTATGATGTTGCTGCTTTTGTACCTAAACATAAATATAATGATTAAAGAATTACAAGTAGTTTCTTTTCAAAAGAGTGTAATATTTGTTTTTAGCAATGTAATAATTAAGACTTTGTAAGGTGAGGGTTCCTATATACTGTATTTTGACTTTTGAAGCTAATATAAGACTTTGATTTTTTTTAAAATAATACTAGTAAAAGTTTAGTGGATATGTACCATAGGTATAGTTTTTAGTCAAATCAAAGTTTAGGATAATTTTTTATCAAAGTTAATAAATTTTGTGATTGAATATGACATTCTAGTACACAGTATCTTATTTTCTCTACTACTAATAATAAAAATTCAATAGTAATGTACTAATTATGTATAGTAATTTTATACTATCAGCTAATTAAATATCATATTATTCATAAATTTTTCACTTATTTATTATAACAATTAATAATTTACGATAAAATATAGTTTATGATTGAATACCAGTTACATAATTAGTAAAAATATGCGAGCGATTAGGTAATTGATCAACTTGAGCAAGAGTTGTTGTAGCTAACTCAAATTGTTGAACAATGTTTTTGGTTTTTATATAGGTCACTTGACAGCAATGAGTGATGTGTATAGTTTTGGAGTAGTGCTATTGGAGCTGCTAACAGGGAGAAGGTCAGTGGACAAGAATCGTCCTCCAAGGGAACAGAACCTAGTGGAGTGGGCAAGGCCAATGTTAAATGACCCTAGGAAACTCAAGAGAATAATGGATCCTAGACTTGAAGGCCAATATTCTGAAATGGGGACAAAAAAAGCAGCAGCATTGGCTTACCAATGTCTCAGCCACAGGCCAAGAAGTAGACCCTCAATGAGCACAGTGGTTAAGACCCTTGAGCCACTCCAGGATTTTGATGATATTCCAATTGGAACATTTGTTTACACTGCTCCACCGGATAATAGTAATGAAGTGCCAAGGGAATTTGATACACCTAGGAAGAGGGAAAATAATAATGGTCACGTTCAAAGGAACCACCATCATAGGCTTCATCCACTTAGATCACCTAAGTACTCTCCAAAGCCAATGTCACCTTCAATGAATGACCACAAACAACGAAATGGGAGAGGAAGTGGACCAAACTCTCCTCCATCACATGTGAAAAGGCCAGGAATTATTGCCTAAGAAGGACACATAAATTGCATACTGTATATAATTAAATGCATATAGATATTTTCCTTCCAAAGTTTCTTATAGTTTTTGTGTAGTGTACCAACTAGCTAGTAGGCCCCGTGTAATGAGCCATATATCATGCCAAGAAAATACAGACAAAGACAAGAAAGGGAAAAGAGGAGAGTGAGTGTGCAAGTATATAATGTTCCACAAATGGAAAACATGATTGCTTAATTTATTTTTTGTTTTGTAATTTAATTTCTTCCATTAATGGGATTAGGATTTTGTTTTTGGTATTGGCTGAGTGTATCCTACCCTGAAAACAATATTTTATAAACATTTTTTACGGATTAAAACTCACAATTAAAAATTAATTTATATTCAAAACATTAAAAACAACTTATTTGAGTTGAAAAGGACTATCATAAGAAATGGTACATTTGTTTTCTAAATATTAATTCGTATGTATATTTAAGATTCAAATTTAAAATTATTGATTTACAACAATTTCAAATCAATTAATTCACGTTTTGTTAGATTTTTTTTAGTATTGTATATATGTATTTTTCAATGAAACTATTCCTTTTCAAGTTGAGAGATTGTTATGAGTAGTAATTTTTTAAAAAATATATATATATATATATAATTAAAATTAAAATTTAAAATTATTAATTAAGTTAGAATAATCTTATATATCTATTACGAACTCATCAATCACGTACGTTAGATGAATTAGGAAGTTAATTTGTTTTAAATTGTGAAAATAAATATTACGATGAATGTTTCTTATGTATGAATGAAAACTGAAAAGATTAGCTGGTTCAATAAATGGACAATTACCAACTACGAGTTGTTGAACAAATAAAGATCTTTCAACAAGGGATTACAGCTAAGATATTTGACCAGACAACTCGTAATATTGAATGGTGAGTTACATGCCACTGTGTAAAGCTAATAATTCTAGATTAATACTAATACTAATACAAATATAATATATATATATATATATATATATGTCATGGTGGAGACAGCAACGAAAGCCGCCCTCATATATATGCGCACTTGATGATGATTAAATAACTAAGCCAATTATTATTAAAGAAAGATAATGATTGCAGATGATGATGGGTAGGGGGAATGATTAGAAAAAAAATAAATTAAGATCTTCTAAAGTGGCCCTATAACTTCAGAAAACAAAGTGAATTTATAGGATTAGAATTATTTTTTGAAAAGCTTATAGGATTAGAATTTTATAAAAATAAGTTTATTATTTTTGAAAATAAAACGAGTTTTTATTCACATTAAATTATTCAACAATTTAAATTAATTTATATTTAAATTTTCAAAATTTAAAATACGAAAAATCTTAGAAAAAACATTATCGTTCATAAATAAATATTGTGTAAACCTATCCTTTTTAAGAATTTTGATTCTTTGTAGTTTTTAATGAAATTACATGAATATTAATTTTATTTATTGTGAAATATATGATAAAATAATAGTTAAAATTAAGTTTTTATTAATTCTAATGGTTAAATCTGCAATTGATAGTTATATATATATATATATAGAGTCATAATTCTAGTGAAAATATTTTGTAAAACAAACTTCTTGATTTTTCTTTCTTAATTTGTGAATTTTCATTTAGATTACGGTAGGATTGTTTGACAACATAAAAATATCATAATCTTCTTTTACAACTTTCCAAAGATCTAAAGCCTATAAGTATGCTTCCATTCTCACCATCCAAAAAATCATAGCTTTCTTTATCAATGATAGATGAAAAAATTTGTGATGAAAAGTTTGTTCCTATTTCCATCTTCATAGGTTATAAACTTAACTCTAGATACCAATGGTGGACTATTTTATATTTGTATTATATATATATATATATATATAATATCAGAAGTAGGTTTTTGTTCACTATAATAAAACTTCTCTATTTTTGTTATATAAACATAATCTAGTATAATATAGAGATTGAAATATTATGTTATATAACATTAAAAAAAATTAATCTGAAATTTTAACTTACTTTATTTAAGTTTATATATTATAGTATTTTAATTTGTATACTACACAAAATATTTATATATATATATATATATAACTAAAATAGAGCAATTGATCACGAAAACAATTTATTTGCATCTGATAATTTTTTATATAACTATCAATTTTAAATTGAATAATTAAAATTAATAAAATTTAATTTTAAATATTATTCTTATTGGAATCCACAGATGCAGGTCTCGATTAGAATGGTTTCAACTTCTCTTCAACTCTGATGATTAGGATACTCTTGTAAAACAGATTTCGACACTCAAATAAAAAGTAGTCTCATTTTTCAAATGAAAAATGAATTAGGCCTAATAAAAACCGTACCTAACCCCTTTTATATAACGCAAAAATTTGTGTTCTTTTGATAATTAAATTAACAGATAAAGACTACCAAAAAACACAAGGTTGTTATATGGCCAAGTACAGCGAGGATCAAGGGATATGTAGCAAGATTCTCACCACAGTCCTCGCATTCTCATGAACGTGCCAAACAACTGTATCATGGTGGTTATTCACATCGAAGTTCACCCACATATAAACAAGCTTGGCTACGCTGATTTCTGATCTTGACCAGGATTTATACTTTCTAACTTAGAAATCTAATTACAATCTAAGGCTTGGGCAAGTACTGATCAGTTTAGCCTAGTCGACTAATGTCCTATTCTAGTATAATATATGAGTCTCCCAAGTTTCGAGCTCAGGATGAACAAAGGAGGTAAACCTCCAAAACGTCTCAAAAATTCAAATTCAAGAACTAGGACATATAACATAAATGATAAGTGTTCATTTTACTTAGAAATTATGGTTATTTTGATATTTATCTAGATAGGTTTAAAAGAAATATGGGCTTTAATTCCTTAAATAATCAAGAAATTTAATGGATATGTAAATAGAGTAGTATATGAAGAATTGATGGGCTTTTGGAATGATGAACTCTTAATTTTCTTGCAAATTTATTGAAGTCTCCAAATTTCAAAATCCTTCAAATTCGTTCAAGCGATATGTAAGGGCTAAGCAGAATAGACACAAAGAGCAAATTGGCAATAAAGCCAAATTCGCTAAGTCATTTGGAAAAGACCAAGTGAATTTGGTTTAGAAATGGGTGAAAATTTTGATTTCAGGGACTCAACAGATTTGTAAGAAAATAGACATATCAAACAAAACAAAGGACACACCGAGAAGTGGATTTGAAGGAAGGAACTCTAAGAGTCACAGGGGATGAGGATTTTGGGTTCATTTTCTTCTTCTTCTTCTACACTTTTTATGTACATGTAGATTGCTTTCATTATTATGAGTAGCTATAATCTTCTCTTTTGTTAGGATTGAATGTAATTCATCAAACTTTTTTTGTGTAATCCTTTTGATATATATGAGGAAGGTTATAATAACACCGGTGTAACTTTTACTAAGTATAACACTGCTCAATAACTTTATATTAAATGTCAATTTTGTAAATCCAACCGTTAGATTGAAAGTTTTTTACTCTTAGATCATATATACAAAATTTTATATTAATCCAAGATGATTTAATACTTCATTCTTATAAGACAAAATTGACGTAATATATTCATTTCAAAATATACTAAAATACGAACATTTTGATTACTTTTAAGTTGTTCAATTTTAACAAAATTTGATATACACATATAAAGTGATATGAACTTTCAATCTAACTGTTGGATTTACAAAATTCACATTTAATATAAAATTATTAAGTGTGTAATACTTGGTAAAAATTACACCGGTATAATTATAACTCCCCTATATATATGTGTGTGTGTGTACGCACACGTGTGTGCATAATGTCCTATTATTATGTATTTGTAGTTTGACTCTATTTTTAATGCTTAAGGTGAATTAATCAATCATCTTTTGATCTTTGATTTGGATTTTGGTTGGAAAACACTTTCTAAATCTATTTGGACCGAATCACCTAAGATTTATAAATGTTAGGAATAGATTTAGCGTTGTTATTTGAACAAATTCTTGAACTTATAAAGCAAGGATTCTAATTAATTTGGTAAATTAAGGAATCATTTATGAAATTAGAATCTTTAGAATTTCTAAATGCGACAAATTTATTTAGAATGACTTTTAGAAAATTCAATAACATTGAGTGATATAATTTATATATAGATAATCTTAGGAGAGCATAAGAGTAAAATAGTTGAAATTCAATCCCAACAACTTCTCATGTTGTTATCTTTCAACTTTACACTTGCTTTTACTCGTTAATTCCTTTACAATATTAATATTGAAATTCACAACAATAGGTTTATACTCGGTGTAAATCTTTCTTTTCCAAATTTTAATTAGGGTAACAGAAATTACAAAATATCTACCAAGTCTTTATGTATAGTAGACTTATTGCACTTGTCACAAAACTTCAACAGTAATTATTCTTGCCATAAAGGTGTAATAATTGTTTCCAAAATTGGAAAAAGTGACAACATACAAGAGATCTTAATCGTTGATCTTGAAATGACAAGGCTCTCTATCCATTGGATTTGCTCGTGTATCCTTGCCTGCACTTTGGACCTTACTAAGTTAGGTAGTTTGGTTCGTGTCATATTCTTCCTACCAAGCATTAAAGAGCCATAGGGATCCTATAAATATTTCCCTTTATTTCATCCTCACACTTTTCTCCTTCACTTAAACTCCCCCCACCATTATTATCTTCTTCTCTGAGTATTTTGTATGTGTGCTTCTTTTGCACATAGTTCTATTGCTTTAGGTTAATTCTTCTTGCATATTTAAGATTCAACCAAGGATGTGGAAATTTCAATCAAGAATGAGATAATAATTTTGGATCACTCAACCAAGAAAGAAGAGGAAATACTTTTGGTGTTGCCAATTGTGGAAGAGAACAAGATAATAATTATCAACAAATTAAGAGAAAAATGTTGTTGTTTCTACTGTGAAAAGTTTAGACATAGAGTTGCAAATTGTAGATTTAAACAATAGGCCAACATGACAGAAAGTCATCAAAATATTGGTAAGAATTCTTATAACTCAGTTTATTTTTGGCAAGCAATAATACATTTTCCAAGCAGGAAAATATCTAGTATTAGGATAGCAATCACATGTGTGAGAAAAGGAGTTATGTTCATCTTTAGATGAAATAATAGAATCTATCATGAAATTTGGAAATAACACAAACATTCCTATTTTGGGAAAAAGGCCAAATTGCTATCAGATTGAAAGATAGTTCGCAAAATTTTGTCTTTGATTTTCT